CAAGCTGTGATTTCAATCATGTCTTAGTGACTAGAGGTCTAGCTAAATCCCGAAAAAGAATGGCCAGATGTGAGCATAAATTGGGTTTAATAGGATAACAAACATAAAGTTCGGGAGGCGATTTTCCTCCAATGAAAATGAGGCAATCCGGATTGCATGCATCCTCATTGAATGTCCCAGCACCTAAATTGCGTACTCACTGCACACAGACAAACTTCAACATAAAACAAGAAACTGTGGAGACGACAAAGTTGTAAATGTCCCTCGATGGGGGTGCTAAAAGGACCTAAGCGAAGTCGAAACTGCAGTCCACTCGCGCCTGGGTGGGAAGCCTTTTGGGAAATCAGGGCTATGTGGAATTGAATAAAAAGTTCAGCTCTACTTATATGATTGTGGGAAAATTGAACTACTAGTCCTCGTATCACCTTAAAGGAAATAGGGTAAATACACTTTATGCATAAATGACCGACTGGTAGTGTCGAAATCCTACTTATAAACGAAACATAACACCGACCAAAGTTTGTCAAAACGACTTAGTGGAGGTAAAGTTGTCAGTTCCCTTCACAAATCGGCCACATAAAAAAGGTAAGACAAAACTTGTCTAATTCATAAACATGATGTGATGAAGAGGACGATTCTCTGGAACTCCTCTCATGCCAGGGGGGCTGGGGGCTGCTTGGAAGCAGATGAGGACTCTTGGGTAGAAACGATGAATGACACAATAAGCCAACACGACTCATCAAGGCACGCACAAGAGGGCTTTCAATTAGAGCTGGAATGGTGGCAGACATACATGAAATCTGTATTACTTTGACAAGTGAAACTTGGTTTTGATAAGTCTCCCGAAGTACACTCGATGTGATGGCATAGGTTTTGTGTGAAGGCTCAAGAAGACGAGATTCACATGTCGATCTCATCAGAAGACTAGAGTGGATTTGTGCTGCTAACAGGTTGCAATAGAAACTGCCAAATAAAAATCAATTGGAAGTATACAAATGTGTAAATAGCTATTAAAAGATCCAGATAGTCATCAGCATGATAGTCTGATTACTTGTAGATGGGTGTGTGTATCTGTACATGCGTAATTCAACTGTGAGTAGTCAAAAGGGAGAGTAACATCAGTCAATAAGAAGCATGACTGGAACTGCACCATTCCGAGGGTATATAAAGTTTTTCTTCCTCCTATCAGCATTAAAATGATGATGGATGCTGGTAGATAAAGTATTCCATTATTATATGATACGAATGCCAAAAATCCTTGCCCCCCAAAAGGTAGTTTCACCCGGACTGGACTGCAGTTTCCATCTCGCCGAGGTCGAGACTGTATGCTGCCCCATTCGGTTTCGAGTCTCGCGGTGAGTGCTGATGAGGCAAATTGCGACAAAGTCGAACCTGCAGTCCAATTCAACCCAGCCGGGATGAAGCAAGACTATGTGAAATTCAACGGAAACACGAGACCTAGTCATCGGATTGTGGGAAAATTCAACTACCAATCCTTCATCACCTCGAACGAAATAGGGTGAATATATCTTTTGGAAGTCTCTAGAAGCTAAGTCGAAACGAAAATCTCGAAAATGTGTCTGCTTGAGTGGATGAGATTGATAAACGTGTGAAAGGGGTGTGAATATGGCTAGACTCCAGTGCCGAGTCATCTGAGTGGCGTCGACTGCGTCAACCGGAACGCGAGGGTAACGAGAATCGGCCCTCGTCGTCTGGACAGATGAGCCTTCGAGTCGTAGTATTACATACGCTTTCACATAAACTAAAAGTCTCCCCTGCAAATTCATATCCAGAATCTATGTGTAGCGCTCAGCTACAACTCTACCGAAATCATACACATTTTTTGCTCACCAAACCTCATTAAAACGGCGTTTTCGTCAAAAGACTACTCTTTCATAAAGGCAGAGATGCCTCGACGTGGTTGCCAGGGTGAAATGATGGGTCTGTGGTGTTTAACGCAAAGTGAGAAAAAGTCGGTGGATATGTCGCTTTTAGTGCCTTGACGACGACAAGAAAGCGACAAACGCAACCTTTCTGAAAAAGAATAAGTTTCTGAGCTGAACTCTCCTCTCTCCTCAATCGTCTCGACAGAATAAAGCCTGTGGAAGACTAACTTGTGAAGGGTCCAGGAAAGGTATTGCGGAACTCGAATTCCCTGGCTCAGCGAGAACACGCCCACCTCTCCCGTGGTCAGATTGACTCCGACAGGACAGGCGCCCTCCTGGTCGAGCAATTGGTCGAGGCGACGGACCGGCCTGCTCGAGTCCTGGCAAGAGGATTGTGTCGTCATGGGCGTCAACTGATTGATGGTGGAGAGACGAGTAGCCGGGGAACACGCGAACCAACCAATCAAATCGCTCGACGTGTAGGCCAGACGGTTGGGACTCGAGCCGACGTCCGCCGAGTCGGGCCAGCCGGGCCGTGAGGAGGAGCGGTGGGACTTTGTCTCATCGGAGAAGTCGGGACTGGAGAGGCCGTCTGAAAGATGAGAGCACACTTTAAGGTTATAGCGTAAGGCCGTCGCTCAAACTCAAGGACTTTCCGTTCAGCAAAGCCCTAGAGGCAGACAGGCAAGCAAAACTTGCAATCTCGATCTCGTTGCCAGCAGACGATCCATCATTGGTATGGACGCCTCTTTTTTGTCTTGCAATCGAGTAGGTAAAATTAAATACTGGGTTTTGACGAAGACATATGAGTGACGAGCCTGAATGGAATATAGCCGAGAAGCAGCAATTTGGAGCAAATTAAGACAAAAAAACAGGAACTTTAAGGTAAGCGGCCGGGGATGAATTGAGCAAAAAGTACAAGTCTCCATAAAATGTCACGGCTTCAATCTGGTCTCCTCAGGAATAAAGCCAAAAATAACACTAAAGCAACAAGTCCAGTTACACTAGGTAGCACAAGATGATAGCAGAACATTCCCACAATCATACTACCAGGCCTCACGTCATTTAAGAAGTCTGAAATGTACTTATTTTCGGTATAAGTAGTTTCATAGACCATCAGAAGTTATTGTACAGGGACTTAGTCATCTAAAC